TTTTTTTCTTTATTTATGTATGTATTGCTGTTGTTTTGTCTTGTTCGTTGTTACTGTTTTAAAATATATAATAAAAAATCATAAAAAAACCACCTACTTTTTGGCAGAAAGGGGGTGTGGCATTCATCTACTTCCCTTTAAAATGTTTTAAGAGATGGTGGGAGTGGGGTGAAGCTCAGTGGGAGGAGAAAGGAGAAGCCCTAGCATTTTTTAAAATTAAAATTTCAATTTTTGAAATTTTTATTTTTAAAAAACATTTTGAATTTTTTTTAAAAAATATTATTTTAAAACTTTCTTTAAAAACATCACATTTTAACCTGATCTTTGCTACGCATATGTAAATACATTTAGTTGTGCGTAGGGTATTGTAATTTGAAGGTATTATTTTAATTTGCAAGTTGTTTATGTCACAGCTATTAGCATGACATTCAGTGGCATATGGGAATTATGATTTAAGAGTAACATTAGTGCAAAAAAGCATGACTAAGGATTCTGTATGGTGTGAAATGAGAGGAGGTCAATGGGGGGGTGACACCATGCGTTACCGCACCGGGTGACACCAACCCTAGCAATGCTGCTGGTGCTTAATATTATGAAGCAGTACAGAAATGCAAGTTCTCACTTCATGATTTGCAGGAACTGAGCAGAGCAATGGAGGACAGAGGGTTTTGGAGATGTCTTACTCACAAGGGTTGACACCAATTCGGGGGCAGTTAACAACAACAACAACACAAATGGAAATGCAGTATGTAGGGAGATCTTGTAGCACCTTTGAGACTAACTGAAAGAAAGAAGTTGGCAACATGAGGTTTGGTAGACTTCAGTCCTACTTCCTCAGATGCAAGTGCATCTCAGGTGCATCTGAGGAAGTAGACTGAAGTCTAGGGACTTTATCACACAGGCAAAAGAGACAGGGTAATAGCACTATGCTCCCGCCAATATTGCACAATAACGGGATAATTTTCACACCTCGTTGCGTAACATCAGCATTATCGTGCCATTATTCCATGAATAAAGCAGCAAAATCACGTCACTTTTTATTCAAGGGAAAATCCCATGAATAGAAAGCTGTGCAATTTTGTTACTTTATTCATGGGATAATTGTAACATTGCCACTATTTCCAGGATAATCGTGCCATAATGGTGATGTGTTGTGAAAACCATCCCGTTTTTTGCATGATATTGATGACAGCGTTTCGCTATTAAAGGTAAAGGTAAAGGTATTCCCTATTGACAAGATTGTCAAGTCGTTTCTGACCATTGGGGGTGGTGCTCATCTCCATTATTAAGCCAAAGAGTCAGAGTTGTCAGAGACTACTCTGTCATCATGTGGCCAGCATGATTGCACAGAACATTGTTTACCTTCCCACCAAAGTGGTACCTATCTATCTACTTGCATTTGCATGCTTTCGGACTGCTAGGTTGGCAGAAGCTGGGATTAGTGACAGGAGCTCACCCCATTATTGCACTATTATCCCATCTCTTTTGTCCCCGGGGTGATAAAAAGTCCTAGGAAAACTCATGCAGCCAACTTCTTTTCTTTCAGTGACTCTCAAGGATGCTACAAGATCTCTCTCTACATAGAGCCTGAACAGGCTACCAGAAACAATCCAGCTTGAGACCACTTGAACTGCCCTGCCTCAATGCTAGGGAATGATGGGAACTGTAGTTCTTCTGAGACATTTAGCCATATGTGTCAGGGAGCTCTGGTGCCACATTAAACTACAGCTCCCATGATCCCCTAGCACTGAGCCAGGGCAGTTCAAGTGGTCTCCAACTGGATTATTTCTGGCAGTCTGTTCAGGCCCATTACTGATTCTAC